TTACCTACTGCAGCTTTAAGGTTGACTCTCATTAAGAGGCTTACATGCTTTGGTATTCAGTGACTTTGGATAGTTAATTCCATTCATTTAATTACCTTAAATTTAATACAGTATAAAGCAATTTCCCTGTCTTAAAAGAAATATAGCAGTAATAGCCCTGGTCAGCTGACCTAACTATACCCACAATACTGTGCAAGATTGAATATTTGCACATGGCAATCTAAGTACAGTAAGAAGTAAGACTCACCATTATTCTGAGTTATGATGTTTAAATGCATGCAACACACCTTCATTATGCCAGGTTTATTATGTCTGCATGTAAATACAATTAGAGTACTTTATTAATCTCTGTAAGCTGCAAATGTCTCTGCATGGCTGTCAAGCACATACATTTATCATACATTATATAAAGTTTGATGGAGAATGAGGGTGTACATCCCACAAATTAAGCCAAAAATCCTCTTTACTGCACCACTTTGATCTATTAAGGGGCGTGGACACATTAAAACAAAACGGTTATGTGTTTCAGCTAAGCAGCACTCATCAGAGCTTACAGAATTGTGAAAGGTTAGAATGAGAACTAATTAAGTCAGAACATTAAAAACACACATTTACTTTGGTCTTGTAATTTCAGACATCATTGGTGTAATTTATGTGCTATTTCTGTGCACATAAAGGGCCGTTTTACTAATGAAATTGAAGCACACGACACCCTTTAAGCACACATGCATATGCGCACACACACAGCACACTCAGTGGTGTACTCATAAACACATGCATGTGCACAAGTTGACTTGAGGATGGTAGTTGGTTATTATACACCATTACTCCTTGATGGTCTCTGATGAGCTTTGTGTTTCCTTCAGCTCTGCTTTAAACAGAGAAACCGCATTATTGTCAACCTGAAGCATTCAGTATATCCGGCCAAGTCAGGACCTGGAAAACCAATCATTAATGCAGAAATTATTTTACTTACTGGTTGTGTCTTTTATTATATTATTTTTATTATGCATTTGAGAAACATTTACTGTACTTTTAGCCACGCTAGAGGCGTGACTCTGTGGATGGCAATGTTGGTCTGTTTATCGGTTGATTTGTCCACCACTTTGGTCCAGACTGAAACATCTTAACAATTACTGGATGTATTGACGGATGTAAAAGACGAATCCTAATGACTTTGGAATTACATGGTGTATTATTTTTCTTCTTTTAACCTTGAATATTAATCTTTAGAAGCATTTATACTACTAACAATTATTGTATCATCATTGTGCCCATGATCTCACACTGGTTACACTGTGGAGGGCTAATATATTGCTATAATTATCAACATGTAGAATCAAACTAATAATATAACACTACAGAGTTTCTTTGCCTGTGTCAACATCCAGCAGCAAGAGATGTAAAAATATGTTGGAATCACACGTGACATTACCCTTTTTACCATATCTTATAGTGTGTGTGTGTGTGTG